GGGGGGGGGGGGGGTCGCGAAAAGAATCGCTATCTTTTTTTCTCTCAATTCTCTTTGAAATTCCGATCATAAGGAAGAGACAGAACACGTAACTTTTTGGAATGACAATAAGTACAATTTGAAACCGATTGTCACGTGCTCGATACTGTAAAGTACATTTTGAGTATTCTGCATGATAACGAACTTTTTCACAATTCGATAAGCATGAGTAATGTCACGTTGGTTCGATATACGTAAGAAAACAGAGAAATCGAACAGAGAAATTTACGATGGGCGGCCATTGTGATGCAAAGCGAGAACCAGTAGGAAATCGAAGCGGAGAAAAGTAATATTTAATTGAGGTATTAGCTAGTTGAAAATCCAAAAAACTAAGAGATAAATATAAAAAAAAAATCTGGATTTCTAATAATCGTTGCTTCCTAATGGTACGTTACTTTTTTTCGTTGCTAGAAGGCATGTGTAATTGTTTTATATATATATTCATACAAACACATATGCATACGCGCACGTAATACCCGTTAGTTAAAAAATGTTTGTCGGTCACAAATATCCCGTGTCATTTCTTCTTGCACCTCGATTGACTTCCAGAGTCGTCTTGTAGCTAACGACGAGTAAGAAAGATATCATCGTTCGCCAAAAATCACATGGAATCACATGGATTCACTGAGATTGTGTCCGAGAAACTTATTGCACAATCGTACGAACATTATGGCCTACTATGATCGCATTTTCGCGATTACCATATGGCGCTCTTTGTTCTTCGAATAAAGTTTATTACACTTTCGGCCATTCTGTTCTATTTCCAAGTCGCGGAGAGGTTAAGTTTGGTTTTCAGCTGTGAATCAGCCGTTATCATCAACGTTGAAGAATTTTAACGTAACATGTGTCATAATGGAAAAAATGAAACATTCAATAGGAAATAAAGAAAACACCTTGGTAAGTATTCTTTGTTCGAACCAAGACTACTTTTTTTTCTTATTTTATTTTTATTTTGTTTTGAGGCATGCATTTACCTGAAAAAACTAATTAGAATCAACTAAGATGCCATAACTGTTGCTGTACAGTTTAAATCAACATTGTTGGTCTATCTCACTGTAAAAATTAGAAGACTGCATAAAGAAAAAAAAGAGCTCACTTAAACCAATCTCCTAATGCAGTCTCATCGCTTTCGAATCAACTCAATTACAGTAAGTATAAATAATTGTTACAAGTTGTTTAGATAACACGTACTTGTCATCTGTTTTATTTTTTTTTCTTTCTTACGTTTCGTGTATCATAAATTTTCTCCCTTTGATTCTGTCAGGTTCGATGGCTTTGAATGTCTTTTTTAAGATAAAAATAAAGTTACAGTTATTTTGAGATAAAGGCAATGGGTCTTGATTGGCTATACTTGTTCCTTTGACTAGATATTCAATGAAATTTTACTTTAGTCTCCTTAACGCATTGTCGATTTCGCTAGAATTGCGAAATTGCTTCTCAAGAACTTGTTTGGTGTCAGACTCGAGAACGGGTACAGTAGCGAGCAAAAAGAAGAGTAAAAAATAGTCTGCAAAACAATATGTAAGCTACCCAAAAAACAATCACTCACATCACGGATAGACGTAGCGCGACAACAGTCCTGATTGTCGTGAGTTGATCCACTGAACTTCTCGTTGTACTCTCGATTTCTGGCATAACGATCCGAAAGACAGGAAGGAGATGAAAACTACACATTGGCAACTTGACAGTCATACACGGTCGATACTCACGCGAGGCGCTTCTTCCACGGCCTGATCGACCGTATACAAGGACCAAGCATCCTCATATTGTTAACGAATAAATCTTGTGACTCTCATCCAACGGGCGACCTTCTTTGACACCGCGTTCATGTTTTTTTTTTACTTCCGTTTTTCCCTATGAAATGAGAGACTTACAGAGCGGGCAGTGGGTGTTGGGTCGCGGTGCGAGAAGTGTTTACATTCTAGATGGCCCAGAAGAGCATCTGTGGATTGGTGTGAGGTAGTATCCATGCAGTGGTCAAGTGCATACGAATCCTTCCTGCACTACCGTTGCACCACCTGCTCGGCCTTCCTAAAAGGAGAGACAGAAATTCATCTGATAAACGTTATCAACAGTAAAATATGTTACTAATGATGGAGCTCCCTTTGGTACCATAAGGAACTCAAAACTACTATCGATCAATTAACTCGACGATTAGTTATTCATATGAACGTTGACATGATGATATATACAGTGTCTTACGTCCTTTGCTGACGTCGAATTCTGTTTGTATTCGTCCAAGCTAAATCCAGAGTTGCTATCTTCCCCGCAGGACTGAAGTACTAAAGAGCTTTCGTCTCCCTAAGAAATTAAAATAATCGATACGGAGTTCGAATATGAAGAGAAGAAGAGAGTCGCTTCTCTTTCATTCTCCAAGAAGCGTATTGGCTTGTACGTCGATCACCAAGTATTTGAGGCAATAGAAATTTGATCAGTAAATTACGGAAGCACCTGTGTTACTTGTTGTTCACCGTCATGGACTTTGCGCTTCTTTCCATAAGCGTCCAGGCTTTGATCAGACAATCGCTTCTTGCTGTTTGCTTCCCCTTGACTTCCCGGAGAGACTCCACCGCTATTTCCGTTGCCGTTGCCAGTAACATTTCCATTCCGATGCGTGCCACCGGACACCTGTAACAACAACTAAATTTATGTTACTTTGTGATATATGAACAAGCGTGGCATAAGGCAATGAGTAAGGACAAGTTAAAATATAGAAAGTAAAGTGAAAGGAATAATATACCTTTCTTTCGCGTTTAAGTAAACTCGGAGAAACGTATGTATGGAGCTGCTTTCGTTTCACGTGTTTGGCTTCTATCCGCATTCCGTCTTTTAGCATACTGATTTGCTCTGCTTGTCTTTCAACTGATTAAAGAGGAAAATTCAGGATAATAATCATTCCAGAAGTAGTATAACTATAAGTATAACTAATTATAAGTATTGACGTACCTGATTCAACAAATGATTTTATGTCATACGTAAGGTCCACGTTCAAATTTTCGCATTTAGCAAATAATAAACCAATGAACCACATGGAACAATGTCTATCTGTTTCTGGTTCCAACGGTGGAAATGCCTCAGGATTGACATGTGCCAAGGTGATGTGAGGATTTCTTTCCAGTGTACCTGAAAAAAATATATTGTTTCATCATTTTGGCATTCGACATTCTTTTAGCTTTTAATAAAAATATACGAAAATTTATCCTTTATACTCTTTAAATAGCTTCAGTGTCTTACCTATCAAATGCCGTATTTTCGATTCAACAAGTCCGCACCACTCGAGCTGATCCTCCGCCGCTAGACTACTGGCCAAAAGTACAATATAGTGTTTGTATTTGCAAAAAAAATTTGGTGGTTCGAATAATTTATCCCACGTAGCCTTTCCCATTATTATCTCCTCGGTGAGTGCTAAACCAGTCTCGAATTCCTCTTGCATTATCGTCCTCGTGGACACTGATACGTTGAACGTTGAGTTTTGCTGTGGATACGCCGGGGTAATTATTGGCATCAAATGGTATCTGTCTGAAATATTAACCTGAAAAAATACAATCAAGTGATAACAGAGCAAAGATACGTTTTAGTAGTATATTTTTCACTCGTAAAATTCCTTACTCTAGGATCCCAGACTGGAAATCCAAGATTGACGCTATCTGGTTGTTTCAGAAGGACGGGTTGTGGCCATTTCCATTGGGAAAATACCAGAAAAAATTTTTCTATTAGAGTCGCTGCAACAGCATTGGGATAAAGCTGACAAGTTCGCGCGACGAGCATAGCCCATGATACACCGCCAAGATAACCCAACACGTTGCTGTATATTCCATGTCCTGAAATTCCATTTCTTTTTAATAAAAGAAGACAGAGTATACGTAGTTTTAAAAATGTTCTGGAAAGTAAACTTACTCTTTGCCCACAACTTTATTGCCCGAAGAGCCAAACGAAAATTCTCTATGTTAGGTACCAGACGCAATATTTCGTCTGTCACGCGGCAACCATTTAAACTTCTGACACATTTTTGATCTAGATTTTTCAAGAGCATGTCGTCTTTTAGATCCTGAAAGTTTAAAACACATTATTAACAATATTCATGTAATATCCTGATAGGATGAAAATAACCGCGAAACAATGAAAATGCTGTCTTTTGTCCATAGCTTTTTTTGTGGTAGAGGAAAATATCGGGTTACTGATATTTATGAGACATACCAAAATTATTACCAACAATAAATAAAAAAGTAATTTTATCACTTGTTAATGTCACTCACCATAGAATCCGGAATTTCCTTAAGTGCTAACTTTGCAAATAACATATCGATTTCGATGCCATCAAAATTCATTTTTATAACTGGAACAAATGCCTCTTCAACTGCCTAAAAGTAAAAAAAAAACTCTAGTGAAATGCTTAATTTTTGTGAGAATTAATTTGTCTTATTAATGACTCAAATTACTTACCCGTAAGTCTGTAACTTCTAATTGCTGCTTTAACAAATCAAAGAATGATGTAAAATAATCGGACCTGTATATGTGACGTGGGACTACACACAGGGCATCTATATCCGCTCCTTTGTGATGAACACCTAATCTATATGATCCAAAAGTGTAAATTTTTCCACCAACTTGTTCTGCCACATTCGGTGGCATGTTTCTGGCAATACTTGTATCTCTTATCCATTGTTTAACCAGAGTATTCAATTTGCTGTGAGATTGAAGATAAAGTGTTATTTATGTGATATTACTTCGCTCTACTTTTTATGGATACTCCCCCTCGCATACAAATTGTAGCTTTTTTATGATAAAATACCTCAAAATTTCCATTCTATGATTAAGTTCTTCCTCCGATTCAAAAACATTGTAAGGTTTCAAAGCTTCTCTTAATTCATTTGTCCTGGTAAGATCGCTAGGCTTAGGTTCTGCTACGCTTATAGCAGATGTCATGCCCAATGTGCGAAGGTTTTGTGCAGTGGTTACGCCACTGCCGGTAGAATTATTACTCTGTGATGACCACATTCTAATATTTTCTAGTTAACTCGGATCCTGAAATATGTGTAATGCATATGGAAATTTCTTTTACCATCCATATCGGCCAAAGTGATGTAAACTTATATTAAAAGTAACACAATGCAACTTCCAAAACCATGAAAGAAATATTTAAATATAAGAAAAGTAATAAACAATCTGTTTATTTTATTCAAGTATGGTATACTCTAAATTTTTATACACCATATTTTTTTTAATCGTGTATATAATTATATGTGAATTCAGTTTTATATCAACAATGACAAAGAACTTGAATATTTCTAAAGTTGCTGTTTGTTTGCAACAAAGCTGAGTTACTAGTAGTGAAAGTTGAAAGTACTACGTTAGCGTATTTGATTATTATTATCAACATACGTAGAAAAATTATTAATTTCCGATACATTAAATTATGCGATACAAAAATTTGTAAAATAGAAAAGAAAACTTTGTATCACACTGTAAACTGATTTAATGTCAACGCAAGAAGAAACAAAAAAATGGCCTTGTTTTGAATGAGATGGTACCAAGGAAAATGTACGTTGTGATTTGAAGAATAACGCAAATTTAAGGAATATTAGGTCACAAATGTAAAAATGTGAATAAAAGAATGGTAACCAATAAAAACGTAAGTAAAAGAAAACAGTATTACCGTTGAATATTCTGTCAAAGTCCCAATGACATGTTACACGAGGAGCAGACAAACTTCAGTTGCGTGGTCAGGTTATAAAAAGTGACAAAGGGTTGCACTAAGGAAGCACAGGATCCCGCAACAGTACACAGTGAATCCCTGAAAGGGAAATTACAGCTCTATCATTAAACACAGCCCTTGAGAATAATCGCTCAGCCGGCAAGACGGCGTGAGCACCTTGTAAACAATTTACAAGGCAGTTAATAAAGAAGTCTCAAGGAATTATTAGTGTCCAATAAAGCACGAACCGCTCACAGAAAAAAGCAACTTAACCGCGCACATTTACGAAAACGTTTCTTTTTCTGCAGTTCCAGTAAATAAAGACGGACGCGCACCACACACTCTTGAGAATGTTCAATAGAAATAAATAATTGAGTAGAATTACTGGAAAATAACGAAACAACACGTAAACCCCGCACCACACCACCTACAGCATAACATGGCGTTCTTGTGACGGTCGCTACGACGCTACTAATCGACTCTTCGTTCCTCGACCTCGACGTCGACTCCCAGTTTACGTGGAGGGGAAAACCGACGCTACGTTCATGGCATCGCATTTAGTCAAGCCCACAATTATAGCTATGGGATACAGCTGTTCAGTCTAATTGATAATTGAGACATTTTCGAATAATTCCATAACTAATGATGTACTAAATTTAATATTTATCGTTTTAACTACCGCCGCTCTATAAACTGAACTCAACTGAACTTTGCGTCTGATGCGTTTAGTTACATATGTTTATTTGCCGCTAGTTTCAGTACGGACCAGCATGGACATACCAAAGAACGTGGTAGCACACGCGTTCTTCCTTCTGCATATCTGCGTTGATTAAGTTTTATATTGTGTAGTGTATAGCTGTTATTATTGTGTCGTACACTTTTGTATCTTAAGAGTACCAAAGAGCTGATTATTAATAATGACGTCTTCACCGTCAAACGTATTCAACAGAATATGTCGTACATGCTTGAACGCTGACGGTGAACTGCTTCCCATTTTTTCAAAAGCACAGCATGTATCAAATTTACCGCAGAAAATTATGGCTTCTATTCACTTCAAGGTTAGTTTTTTTTTTATTATACCTGTAGTTGGTCCACAAGTGCAACGTGCTTTTTTTGACAGATCGAAAGCAATGAAGTTTCTAGCAAGTTGCATGTGGTTCTGCGTTATATTTGTGTTACAATGTATACTTATATATACATTGTTATGCATTAAAAGATATTATTCTACTTCACTATATATTTGCCTGACTATGAAAAGCAACGTGTGATGTGTTAAGAATCGCATTGCTTGTAACCGTCAAAACTCGTGGACAGAATACGTTTTGTCTAATTCTTTATACATTTCTATTAACTCGTCACATACGCACTTTAAATATCTTCTCCAACAATACGACTGCGTGGTGCTGCATTTAAGGAATTCTTTAATTGTAATTTTTCGTTTTACACACTTTTCATATTTTGTATTTATCCTTTGGTTACTTAAAAAAAAATTGAGATCACATCAAATCAGGATTCGGGAGAGCTGCAGCTTTAAAACTTTCTGAATAATTTCGAATTTCAACATTAGCAATTGATCGTGAGACATACTATATAAGCGCAAAAAATGTCGGCTTTTATAACTTTCATGTTTGTTTCGAATTTCAGATTTCGGAAGATGATGAACTCCCGAAAATGATGTGTAAAAAGTGTATCTTTTTGGCGGATTCGTTTTATTGCTTTAAACAACAGTGCGAATCGGCAAATGAAAAGTTGAAGAAATTCTACAAGATGATGACTGAAGGTAATTTGGGTGCTCATTATGGGATGGATGAATATATAAATCATAATATTTATGGCGATACGTTCGAAATCGACGGTACGCGTTGTAAAACTTATAAAGAGAACGCTAATGTGGATTACGCTTACGAAAGTGACGATGATTATTTCGTCGAGTACATCTCGGAGGAAGATAGAATTCAAGTAGAAAATGCTTTAAAAAAGAAGCGCGACGCGCGACGTAAAGTTCACATGGAGAGTCTATCAGAGATTATTAAAAACTTAGAAGATATAGAAGTTGTACCTGTAAGCTCGTGTGAGGCAACTTCGAATTCAAGGAATAAGAATGAAGACAAACAAGACATCGTAGTATTTCCGCTAAAGAAACTAAAGAGCACTACCAATAGTAATAATGATAATGGCCCTATAAGAAATGAAACGACGATGAATTCGATGAAAAGAAAGATTCCTGCAAGCTACGCTTCAGAAAAAACGTATTGCCACGAAGAAAAGAAAAAAAAAGTTACTTCAAAGAAAGATGATATTAAATGTTCAAATGTCAGCAGTAATATTGTAATGAATCAAAGACATGTTGGGGAAATACATAATCAAGTAACTGTGGGAACCAACGTTTCTCAAACAAATGGTGCTACTCAGTACACAGTCTTGCCAGTTCAAATAGTTCAAGAAAAATGTATTGATTTAAGAGCTAAAGAAAGGGAACATGATTTTCAGTTGTCCGTTCTTGAAGGTAATGGAAAAATAAACATTACAAAAGAGCAACCTTCAATTGATAGTGAAATTATTCTGCATGGAACGCTAGATCAAATCAAGAAGAACTGTAATGACAATGCTGAAAAAGAAAAATTTAATTTTATTCTAGGGGCACAAGAAGATCATGTACAAGCTATACCTGGAGAATTTAAAGAATCCAAAAGTCTTGCAACCACTGTCATTGCTGTCGATAAGAAGAAGGAAACTAGTGACATGTATTCTAAAATTGACAATACAGTTAAAATTATTTATGTGTCCGACGAGGAAAGTCCAGAAGATGATATAACAAAAAAAAGAGAGTTGTGGTGTTCAACGGATGTGACACACAAAGAAGAAACAAATGCTTCTGAAGACAAACAAGGCTTCAAGACATGTGTAGAGGCTAAAGATTATCAAAAGATGTGTCTTATTGAAAAAGTCAGAAAGAAAGAAGAATTCCTAGTAATTGCTGATATGGAAAGTCGAGGCAGCAAGCTTAAAATACTTGATGGCAATTTAAAACTGTACCAGTGCACAATCTGCAAATCAAATTTTACATCGATGCCTAATGTCCTGAAACATAATATACAAGAGCACATGACTAGTCAAAATGATTATTCCTGCTTAATCTGCAAGAAAGTCTTCAAAGATAAATCGTTACTGATCATTCATGTAGAACAACACAGCAACTTGATATCCTACCGACGCACCTTTTATCCAAAGTCATTCACATTAAAGAAGGATTTAAAGAAACATGTTAACCATCACTTCAACGAGAAATCAGTTCATTCAAGCAATCTTCCATTCCCTTGTCCAAACGGTGACATTGCTTTCAGTAGCAAAAACAAGCAAGACACACATCTGGCAACAATGCATGATCGACATGCCATAATGACCTGCGAATACTGTAAGATACAATTTCTAAAAAAGGACATTGCCAAAGTTGATGAAAAAGTTGATGATGTTCGGGAATCCTGTGACAAGAAATTGGATCAACACTCTTTTTCAAAAACTCAGCTGAATGATCAAACTTTGCTCTGTCTTACTTGTAGTAAAGCTCTTAATCAAAAGAAAATTCGCCATGATCACAATTCGACCCATGCCAGTTCAAAATTGTACAACTGTAAAGAATGCTCGGCCAGTTTCACAAATTTTCATGCGCTTAAACGACATGTAGCATCGCACAAGAAGAAATTTTTAATGTTTCCTTGCAACACGTGTAACAAGAAATTCGTTACTTTTTATGAATTAAGAAAACACTTGAGAGTTCATCCTAGAAAGTTCTCTCAAGTCAAAGATATATCCAAAGAAGACAGTTTGTCAGAGACTACAAAGGAAATAGCGGGTGCAAATGGAAAACATGAGAAAAAGACAGAGAAACGGCAGGATGTTACCTGTAACCAAGTTCAATTCGATGTGGCTGGAAATGACAATCAGGGTAAGTCTGAAACGTATGACCAAAATGATGTTTCCAGTGAGAAGACACAACCTCCTGTGGCATCTGAAATAGTTTTGGAATAGCAGCACCAAACCAATTACCAGAAGAGTTCAATCAAAATTTGATAATTTAAAATGAGTATTCTATTTGGCAGCTTTAATATGTATTGTTATATTGTTTTTTTTTGTATTACCTATATTATTTAACTGTCAGTGATTCTTATGAAACGACGTACGTTCGATAATTCGCTATAAATATTTATTTTTCTACGTACTTTACTATAGCTATATTTTCTTCTATAAATTCTCAAAAATGCATCAGAGTATTATCCTTTCTATCGACCATCTTGTAGAATCCAAAAAATGTCCTTTAAAGCGGCTTAAATAGTATTAGTAATTAGTTTGATTAATGAAATAACTAGAGGTTTTAACTTCTTCTATTATTCTATAAAAGCATCGAGTATTATTACGCAGCCATACGTAACGCTCAGTGTTTGAATAACCAGATCTGTGGGGCTTATGGGTATCCCGCAGAGCCAGTAAATTCGACGAAAAAAAAATCTGCTTGATTAGCAGTGGTGAAAATTTATGTTCCACAGCCAGTGTCATGTTCTATTACAAGCATGATTATTTTGCAGTCCTTTATTTCGTACTTCCGTTATACATTTTCCAGTGCCCTTCCTACATGCTAATCAAAATTATTTCCAACGTGTAATTCTTACTGATTATCCACAGAGCTAATTAATTACATCAGAAAAATAAAAGAATCAGTCAGTCTGCATAACAGCAATCTTTTTTCAAATTCTAGACAAGTTGTGTCTCGAACAATATCTCATTTCGTGCTACTATACGATCAATATTGTATTAATGAAATTTTGTATTGAGGCAGATTGCCATTTCTCTTCACGAGGCCGTCCCACTATGTCAGTTTTGTGTCTTATCATACTCTATGGCATCGCACAGTTTCGTATTGTATCGTATGGTATCGTATTATATCGCATCATGCCCTATCGAACTGTTCCTTATATTCAGTATATAGATTCATTGGGCAAAGAAACCCAAGAATTGTGGAATACCAACTATGGGAGACAGAGATACGATCGTAAAGATTGAGCAGCATCCTGAAAGGAAAAGTAACTGAAACTAGCGTAAGAGTTTCTTTCATGTGTATGTACACAATTCGGCATCTCAACCAAAGATCGAAGAGACTAGTCTTTCGCAAGGTGGACTATATATTGTATGTATAACCTCTTTTTTCTTGTAACTTTTTTCACTATATTCATTGATCAGAATTTTGATTTAAGTGAAAAGGCCAGGAATGAGATTCCTAGTATCATTTTATCCTGTAAGACGTATGCTTCCGATTGCGTTTACAAGCCATGTGTTCTTACATTTTTTGGTCGCGTTTACACCGATGACAAAAATTATGACAGGATTTGGCACGTCGCTGACTCGACCGCCACTAACCTCAAATCCATCAACCACTGGCGCTAATCAGATGATGGATCTTTCCTCGTCCTTAAGTATCACCAGATCACTACCATGGCACCACCCACCACTCACCCAACTTCCTACTAAAGCTTCGTCGTACCATCCAGCATCCTTACTTCGGACCCTAAGCAATCTGATCGAGATATAGTCGGCCTGTCTCTTTTTTTTTCTTTCCTAGCCACCCGCCATACGAGAACCGCTACGTTTCTTGTTTACTTTCGAGAAAACCTTTCTTTATCGATCCCTACTTCCAGTTATCTTGCACCCTTCTCTTTCTCTCTTTCTCTCGTCTTTTCGGTCGCTCTTTCTTTAGCTTCTTGCTTATGCCTATCATGATCTTTTTATCCCAAGGGTCGGTTGATTCTTTGCTTCCTCAAGAAGGGACCTCCACTTCTGCCAGGGTCGATTTTCATTTGCCCTTCATGTACTAGGTAAGGATTTTCTTTTTTAAATTTTGGACGATGTAAGTAAATTAAAATTTTCTCAGGCAGCAAGGAAACCGATGGAATCACGTGTAATCGCAGATGGCGCCAAGTTCAAATTGAACTATAGGATAGAGTGGGGTAAGAATTTGCGCTATGGTATAACCGTTAGGGGTGGATGCATTATTGTGAGAACTATAAAGTGTTAAATGAGGATTAAAGTCATTAGTGTTACGAGAGATGGCGGTAAGAGGCTTTATCGCGTCGGAACACACGGCTTCCGTTAGGGTGAAGGTGTTTCTCTAGGTTCGACGATGTTTCTCTTGGTTAATTTATTACTCTATGGTTCCGGAGCGAGGCCGAGAAGAATTAACACAGTGGGTGCCCTCAAATTTCAAACTGAGCATTTACATTCCTGCCGCTCCCAATCCTAATTGTTATTCCTGTTATAAATTCGGTCAAAGGTCGCACGGAATTATGGGTCCCCACGTCGCAACCGATAAGCCGAATTATCATTACCGTTCGCCATAATTTTAAAGTACAAGTACACTCAATCATCATTGAAAATATTTCGGTAATATTTTTCGCTTGTCGCATAAACCACGGTGCAATGGCGTAGCTAATAAAATTGGAAAAGTTACGTATTTTTGCTAGTGCTCAAACAAAAATGTCACAATCAATAAATAGCGACGGCACGAGTGAAGAGATACGTGCATTGAAATTGATTTGCATACCTTGCGAACAGATATACAGTAACGTAACTTTGTTCTTTTTTTCTTACGTCCCTCCGGCGTATCCATAGCAAACGGCTATAACCACGTAAGGTGGTACGTGTAGTGGTACTAAACTGCTATCTTGCGTGCTTAAAACTTACAACCTGAAAACTCCTTTGGGGATATATTTAAGGTATCGCTGAAGTTGATCGTTGAGTTTCTTACTTCGATGGTTTTCCCAGTCGATTTTTCCTGGCAGGATAACGCTATCGTGTAAACACTATTCGATACGGCACCTTATAGTCGAACAACCGCAGAGGTAGGTACTGGTTAATTATTTTCCGATGGCAGAAATTCTCCGGCGATTAATTAAAAAGCGAACGAGCATATCTTTGTGTATTTTGTCAATTATCAGATTTTGAGAATATTACCCGGTGGGCGTTGATGCTTGGCTCGTGATTAAATGAATAATATTTCACAGAGAATTTTATTCGCAGAATTATTCGAGTGTCTATAGCTCGCTTATTTACTTTGCTGATTCCGTCAAAAGAAACTGGACGGCTCGGAAAATATAATTTAAACGAGTATCCATCATTTACGATTTGGCCGTTTTCTGCTTTTTTTCTATTTTTCGTATATTCTGTATAGTCGTATAGACACTTGATGGTATATGTATACACTGTGGTAAACGCGTAATTGCATTTTTACGAAAGAGACTGGTCACGGTGCACTATCGTGCCAGAGTGCAATTTTGTGTTTCTAATTTTGTCGGAACGAGTGCAGATACGGCAGACCTAAAATTGGCTCGGTCGGTAAGAAAACTGTTTTACCCTTTGTGAAGATTACAACGTATCCTTGAAAACCAGGTATCGTACATTGATCCTGTTATTTATGAAATTAGGAAAATGTTTTTAGAAATTTTTAATGTTTTTTTTTTTCTTCGCACAACTCGAGCAGAGGATCATAGGAAGAATGACAATGGTGGGGAAATTATTGAATGTCTATAAGATTTTTTGATGAGAAGACTTATGGGTGTTTACATTATTTTTAGGTTACGTTACTTATATTCTTTTATCTATATATCTATTTTACTATAATTGCATATACGTTGTATGAGTTAAGGTTTATGACGTTCTTCAATGGGAATGTATATAAACTTGTCCGATTCTTTCCAGTAGTGACTCAAGCTGGTCTTTCGTCAAATTTGTTTATAGCCGGGTTTCTGACCCTTTTAATTTTATGTAGGCGACACAAGTAATTAAAGTTTATCGTCCGAGGATCAGGAGAACGCGCTTAATATTTCACGCTGCTAATCCGCCGGCAATTAGGACAGGAACGCTTAACAGTCTTGTTGACAAGTGTATATAGACTGAAATACGTGATACTTATAACTTATAGACTATTTATTTGACGAAAAGCAAAATTTCCATTCGCCTGTATTGGTATACGCTTTGGAATGTGACTGATTTTTATTGTCAAGTTTTTATTTGATTTCAGTTTTAACTAAAAGATTTTTTTTTTTCTTTTTCGAATGAATATCTGCAATATTGTTATTTGTCGAACCCAATTTAATTCCGGTTATTGATTTCTTACAAACTCATTGCGTTCGGTGATATCATGTACAAAATGCATATACTGTTAATGAAGCACAAACTGCATAGCTCAATTTGACTAATTGAAATGACCAAAGCGCTAGTGTAATCTAAATCTAAATTAATAGCGCATATTGCCCATTCATACTAGTCATTAGCAGTAACCCTCCGGAATGACAATTATAATTTAATGATTGGGCACGGAATCAATGGGTTCGAGAGTAATTTATTTTCAAGCCGCTCAAAATTTTATACCTGTTTTGAAAATCGCAACGAATTCGAAAACCCAGATTTTGCCGGATGCTATGAATATTTTTATTGGCCCGACTCAATCGCATTGGCGATTCTTGAAAAAATTGACAAACGCCTCCCCCTATCAGAACTTATCTCACGTGATGGATGTCCTGCATAAAACAAAGCGTCGCGACGCTCACGTAGCTCGTAGCGAGCAAGTTAGTTGTGGATGACAGCAGTCACTAGGGATTCGTTCGCGTCAGACTTATCATTGAATTCCAGCGTGGATTACAGGATGAAGCATTTTACGTTCATCCCTTAATCATATTTCGCGCTTGATATTTTAACACGGGGGGTAGGTAGTTTTACCCTGGAAACGAGATTTTCTTTTTTTTTTTCCCGACCAGATCGCATATACCTATACCTGTTCCTCTATCAGACGTACACCTCTACAATAATTGCATGTTATTTGAATCTTTAAAAAAAATTTTTTTTAATTCAAAATTTCGAGTTTCTCGTAGTCGAATTTTTTTTCCTTTTGTTTTTTCAACAGCCGCATTTTAAGATCAGTGTGTCGCAAAGGCTAAATAATTTCCGAGCCTTTCTCGAAGAAAGATATAAAAATATCAGAAGCTAACCAACGGCAGGAGCTGTAATTAGCGGAGGTTAGCTCATTACATTACTAATTGGAAGTACTTGGCGAGAGGGCGAGCCATGGCACATTCCCTGCTATTCAATTAGAGCGTGTAATTTCATTTCCTTCGTTTCGAGTCTTGGGCTTTCTTTTCATGAGACCGAAAGCCGTCGTGGCTTGTGGCGCGTGGCTTCAGGCAGTACTCATGAATTTACAGTACCCGCCGGGCATT